AAAAAGAAATTGCACACCCATCTAAATACTTATGAACATGAATTATCCAAATGAGAGAAGTGAGCTTGTCCCACGGTTTGTGGCTACTCACAGGAGGACCTGGGAGGCCTGGGAATCCATCGAGACCATCACGCCCTGAGATACCATCATCACCTTTCATACCAGGCACACCTGGGATACCTGGTTGTCCCCTGTCACCTGGAAAAAAGATTTGCAGTCTGAATCTACTCATACAAGGGAGATGAGAAAGATTTTTTGCTGGCATGGTCACAGAGAAACTATGGCTTTCCTAGAAGCATTGATTTAAAGCACAAAGTAGCTGTTAGTTACAAATGGGTTCAAGAGCTGCTCAGACAAAAAGAACTGACCTTTGGTAGTAATTGTTCTAGAATCTCCCTTTATTCCTTTGGGCCCAGGAAGTCCAATGCCACCAGGTGCTCCCTGTGAAAACAAAAACATTTCTTTTCCCATTACTCCTTCACACTGTTAAAAACATCTGAGTAACAGAAAGGAAAGGACATAGAACGATTTTCACAAATCTAACCTAACTTCCATTCCTTATCATCGAAGCACAGAGCTACCCAAAGAACTTTCTGGAGTGCAGGAAATAGTCCATATCTGCGATGCACTGTCCAATGAACTCACCTGTGGTTACTGGAACTGAGGAATGAGATGTTAAATTTTACTTAACTTTAACGAATTAAAACTGGAATGGAAAGAGTCACGTGTGGTTAGGGACCATCACATCGGAGAGTGTGCAAGGCTAGCACTGCTTCATAAAGTTAGATCCACGAACTAACACTATCAGCATCATCTGGGAGCATGTAAAGCACACAGATTCCCAGCCCCTACGCCAGACTCAGAATCCGCATTGTAACAAAATGCCCAGGGAATCACATACTTATGAATATCTGAGAAGCAACAGTCTAGAAACACAGGGTAAACGACTTTTAATTATAATTATTTGGAATCTAAACAAAACCAACCAACTAAAACAACTAACTATAACAAAAAGCAGTTGTGATCATTTAGTATTGAGAATAATAAATAAAACTGACAGCTTGTCCTCAAACTGATGTTAAGGTTGGGGAAAGATATTGGAGAGACATGTTTATTCCAGACTCTCCAACTGCAGGCTGCAAAACTTAGCAAAGCCTTTCTGATGAGCAGAAATGAACATTACGTTACTGTTTCAGGATAGTATTTTAATGTTTGCTATGTTAGCTTTGGGCACATATTGGTGGATGTTATTTTTGAGACTATGGGGACATTAACTGTTGGTTTGATAAAATGAAATGCTACAATTGATTATGAGTTCCTTTCTCCTAAACAATCCACAGATATCTAACTTACGGTAGGTTTAGCTCTTCGCCCCAGAGGCTGACATTCTGTTTATGACACACAGCCATCCGTTTCTAGGGCAGCGTCTCACACAGACAGCACTCAGGAAGTATGTGTCGTGGAAATGGATGGATGAATGGTGGGCATTCAGTGACAGATAGACTCCTAAACTTCAAGCATAATATGTCCCACCTCCCACCCCCCCATCAGGGTAAACAGCAAGCAAGCAGTCTCAGGAGTCCTTACTGCAGTGGGGCTGCCGGACACACATACATGTCCCTGACATGCACGTGAACCAACAGGATACGGGGTGTGAAACAAGAGTGCCCTTGGAGTGTGTCATGCAGTTGGGGAAAGCACGCACAAGATTTTAGACATAACACGTAATCAAAGCAGGAGTTGTCTGGCTTCTAGAAAATATCCTGTCATTTTACAAACCAAAGATCCCACTAATTTTGTCACTAGTAAGTTTGAAATTCTTACCACATATACTTTTTCTTCAGTCCTGATCAATTTTTAAATATATAGACAGCTTTCATTTGGACACAACATAGTTTTTAAACTAGAAAGTCATAGTGTCTCTTATTAACTTGATTTTCCGAGTTGTTTGCTGAGAAATCTCAGGGCATAAAGCAGTGAGCTGCTTCAGCCCTCATTTTCACCTGCAAACCTCTCGGACCATGAAGCAATTATGAACACAATACCTTTTGCACAGGCAACTCTGTTTGTGGCTGAAATTCTGTGTCATGAAGCAGAGTGACGCTCTTGTCATTGTCCTTAGTAAAACATGTTTTCTCTCTTGCTGAATGTGTAAAATGATAGAATTTATAATGTTCTTGCAGTTCTCTTCTTAATTAAAAAAAAGAAAGCATAATTTCTATGTCTATATTTGAAATTTGCTTTGAAATCAGTTGGATGAAGTACAGCCAGAGTGCTCCTTGGAAGCCAGGATGGCTAGACTTCGTCTTTCATACTTTGGACATATTGTCAGGAAGGACCAGTTGCTGGAGAAAGATACTATGTTTGGTAAGGTGGAGGGTCAGAGAAAAAGAGGAAGACCCCCAATGAGATGGATTGGCCAAATGGCAGCATTGATGGACTCAAGTGTGGCAACAATAGTGAGGTTGGCCCAGGATCGGGCAGTATTTTGTTCTGCTGTACATAAGTTCGCTATGAGTCAGTACCGACTCAAT